GGCGGGGCGGAGATTGAACGGAAATTTTCAGGTTGCGGTCCCTTTAAATGATAATAAATAATAAACGAGAAGGGGAACAGTGACGCGGAGGCCCCGCCCCCTGCCTAGGGACGGTGGACAAAGTGCTTGCTGCGACCGTGAGCGCACAGCGCGCGGAGGACGCGGGCGGGGCCGGGAGTGCTGGATGCGGAGGGAAGAAGGTTAGGCCGCCTCCCTGGCGGCTGGGGCGACACGAGCCGAGTCGAGGACCCCTCTCCTCACTTTACTGAGCACGTAGGATGAACTGCTCAAGCTCAGAGTTTCACTTCTGTCCCTTAGACTGAGCGACCAAGCGCCAGTGACTTGGCCCCATGGAGCCGAGCCCGGGTTTCCAAGTCTGTAAAACGGAGATTACAGATCTGGGAAAGAAATTAGCTATTGCGACGAGAACCGGGAGGGGAGTGGGGCGGAGCCTGAGGGAGGAGCCAAGGCCCAGCGAGGGGACACAGCACAGTGGGGAGGGGTATTGGAAAGAGAACGGCAGCCTGGCGCGGGGCACGGCGCAGGCAAAGGCGTGCTGGGTTACCGGGGAGCTCGTCGCGAATTCCAGACGACCCCTATCCCCGACTGTCACCACCTCTTGGGAACCTGACAATCCACCGACTAGAGGGGGAACACGAGAATCTCTTCTTAGTAATAATTTCATAATTTACATATTCTGAGAGCTCGGGTGCCCAGCGACGTGCAAGGTTCAACCCTACTAAGTCTATGTAGTGCAGACTCTAAATGTCCCCATTTGGAAAAGCCGGAAACTGAGGCACAGAGTAGAGTGTGTGTGTGTGGAGGGGAAGGTGGAATGGGGGTGGGGGTGCGGGCTCAGCTTGGAAGTCTGAGCCCCTGAGGCGACCCCTGAGGGCTAACGCAGGGGCACAGGCTCCAGCCCAGGTAAGAGCCAACTGGGAGTCTGAGGTAGGGGCGGAGGCCACCCAGAGGCCCCCACTACTCTAGGTTCTCACCGGGTAGGACTGGGGTCCCTGGTCTTGAGTGTTAGGGGGGTCGTGTGCAGCCCTCCTCCCCTAAAGTACACAGCATTGCCATCTTCTAGGGGTCCTCCTCTCAAATTGGAGGACCGACCCCCCCAGGAGACTGGTGGGGAGAGCTGTCCCCACCCCAGGGCTGGAGTCCTGCCCTATCCTTGCAGGAACCCAGTCGCTAGCCCCAGGGCCAACTGTAGCCTAATGGCAGCAGGTGGCAGGAGGCCACCACCTTTAGGCAGTTAAACACCCAGTCCCAGCTGCTGCCCCGCCCCACCCCGGAGGGAGGGGTCCAGACATCTGCCCAGGGAGGGGAGGGTTAGATTAGAGACCCAGGAGAGCTGGGGCGAGAAGCCTCCCATAAAGGGCCAGGCCCCAGCTCAGTCGTCAATGGGCAGGGAAGCCTCTCCACCAAAGAGCCAAACAGCTCAGAATGCACCCCCTGCCCCACACCAGGCAGGTACATGGGCCTCCCTGTGCCTCAGTTTCCCCCCTCTGTAGACTAGATCAACATTAATGCATTCCTTACAGCAGCCTCAAGGACTACATTTCCCTGTTGTAAGGGAAGGGGGAAGGGGGGGTCCCCTGAAGGCAGGAAGGGTATCGGTGCCTTCCTCATTTTCCAGCGGGAAGCTATGGTCCATAGGTAGCTGGATGCAGCTTCCACAGAGGTGCTGGGCCCAGGAAGGTGAGGGGTACAGGGTTCCCAACTGCCTCCAGTGAGGGGGTCCTATTTTTAGCCTAGGGAGGGAGCTGGGCAGTGGCACACAGATTTGCTGGCTCTGCTGGGGGTTGGCAGCCCAGGTTCCAGATGGGTCCTGACTGTGTGATTTTAGGTTAGTGCAGACCCCCCTCTACTCTCTGTCAAGCTGGGAATTGAGTGCAGCAACCCCTCCCTGTCTTATTAGTTTTCCCAGGCAGACCATCTTGTGGGGCCCCTGTGGGTTTTGGACAGCCTCCCTGAAAAAAAACAGCCTGGGTCTTACCTAGCCCCTCAGCCAGTCACTCAACCTGTCCTCCACTCAGGAAGGGCAGCATCCTCTTAAAACCTCACCCAGACCCCAAACTTCCCACCTTCCCACATTATTCCTGCTTAAATATATTCCCACTTCCAGGCCTTTGCACTGGCTGTTCCCACTGCCTGGAGTTCACTTTCCACATCACCTAGTGACCAGTGCCTTCTCCTGATTCAGCTGGAACCTCAGGTCCTCATAGGGTC